TAAATTCTATATAAAGCTCCTAAGACTACCATCTCCTTGCACAAGGCTATGCTAGTCGATTTTAGACCAAGCCACGTTTACCACTCTTCTGGCTATACTTCGAGAAAATCGGAATTGGGCGAGGACCCCATCTCCACCGTGCGCACATTGCGCACACAACTTCGTCGTATGGCTCTGAGATGCGAAGAAGAGGATACGCCAGTTAAGGTTTAGCTAGCACCTCTAAGGCGATTGATTGCTCATTTATTGATATGTTTCAAATTTCAAACTTTTTGGCTTAGGCGCATCTCTGTCAAAGAGCGTGTGATCGTCTCACAGGTGTTGAAGCGGAGTTAATGGCTTTAGGTCGTCAGAGAACCAATGCCGTGTTAAACGGAGATACAAGAAAAGCCGATACGATAAGTATTAAGATGGAGGAGGTATAGTCGCTTTTCATACTTTTACCAATATCAGTGTAACCTGCTTTACCTCACTTATTTCCTTAAGCTTAAAGAAGACGCAGTCAGAGATACCTATTCGGATTTGGTTATGGACAAAAATGAGGTAGGCGTGGCTTCCACTTGCTATGGGAAGAGCATGTCCACTACATTTTAGATGAAAGCTTTTGGTGTGAATTCTCAATGGACACCACTAAAACGACCTGAGCAACAGAAACCGCCGACATTCGTTCCGCCTCCTTCACCAAAAAAGTATGTTTTCAGCCAAACTTTCTTCTTTGCTCAGTATTGAGTGTCTCTTGTAAAATGATCAGCATCAACCAAAAATCATTAAACAGACTTCATTTTAAGAACGCCAAAATCGGTAGCGATTACAAGTGAGACGCAGACAGAAGCTCCAACTGAGGTCGTACCAGAGAAAATGCCTGAAAGCCCGCCACTGGTATTGTTTTAGAAGTAGTTAAGGGTCCATGATTTGTTTTACCATTTTGTGTGTCCATATTTAGCGCGATGTAAAGCGAAATGCTCGGTTGTCAACTATGGTGGGTGCTGCTAACACTGACCAGCTTCAGCAGTTCGCACAACCATACGACGATCCTTATCAGCTACCAAACAACGCTGGGTAAAACTAAATAGACCTCCTCCCCCTTCAAGACCATAATGATACTCTACTTATCGTTTAGAACTTGCCAGTTTTGTGGCGAGATGTCGCCAGATTTTGGAATGTCCAGTAGACTGGAGGTACA